TGCAGGTCTCCTCTCTCCTGTGTGGCTGCTCAGACTCTCGCTCTCAGTGCAGGTCTCCTCTCTCCTGTGTGGCTGCTCAGAATCTCGGGGCTTTGGTCTCCTGCAGTTGCTTGAGGGGCTGTGAGGCCTGGGTTTGTTTGGACTGACTCTCCTACGTCACCTGCTAGGCTATCTGAGCAGCAGTGTTACCCCTCTTCAGTTGTGGAAGCTTCTCAGCCACGATCTTTCCAAGTCACTCTTTTCCCTCTTATCTCTCCTGATCTCACCGCCCGGCATCTAAGACCCTCTCTCTGTTTCTGTCTCTTCTCTTGCGTTCCCGCCCCTGCCCCTGCCCCTGTGTGCTACCTTCCACGCAAGTCCTTGCTCTCAGCCTCCCAGCTCACTCACTTGGCCTTCTACCTCTCATTCTTATGGTGCGTACTCCATAGAGTCTTGGTTTGTTTCCTTTAAATTTACCTCGCTAATTACTAGTCTCGACCTTTTGTCATGTGTGTGACATTCCCCTTAATTGTTAAATATTATATCACCAAAGACCACTGCCATCGAGTCAGTTCGCACTCACGATGAGCTCCCTAGGAAGGGCCTCTGAAGCTTTGAATCTTTACAGGAGCAGATAGCCGCATTTTTTACCCATGGAGCGACTGGTGTGTTTGAACCACCAACCTTGTGGTTAGTGCTTCCCAGACAGTGCCACCAGGGCTGATGCTGGTGCTGTATTTGCATTTAAAGACTCTCCGGGTGTCAGCTGTGCACCCTGATGTGACTTTCCCTGTGGGAGTGCCTCGAGGGCCTAGCCTGCAGAGAACCACCCAGAAAGGACTGTGTTTGTGGCTCTCGGTCATCTCTACAGTGAAAGCCCCAGCTCTGGTGTGAGCATCTCATGCTGTGGAAAGGGTGCACCAGCTGAAGCTCCCACGAGGCTGACTTGTAGTTGTTCCCCCGGGGATCTTCCCACTTGGGAGCCAGCGACGAGAGTGCAGGCCCTCAGCCTGTCTGAGCCCTTTGCCCTTGCTCGGGGTGTGTGGCCTCCCAGCACCTTGGCTGTGTGCAGCCATGTGCCTTCTGGTTCCACTCTACCTTCCTGAGGCCCTTCCCTTTAGTCTGAGACCAGGTGCCAGCACCCACTCCTCCTTGGCCAGGCCATCAAGGGCTTCCTGCAGGGGTGACATGCAGCAGACACTTGGCGTGTGCCAACTCTTACTCCTTGTTCCTAAGAATTTCCCTGGCCTTCTTGCCAACTCTGCAGTAAAAGCATACAGTAAGAATTTACTTACTTATTGTCGGAGCCCTGGTGGCAGTGAGTGTGCGTAGGGCTACAGTCTGCATGGTCAGCTGGCTGGATTCACCACCAGCTCCTCGGAGAAAGGTGGGGCTTTCTGCTCTCGGAAACAGTTACAGTCTCAGAAAGCACGGTCAGCATGGCCTGGCTATCAGTGAGTTTGTTTGTTTGTTTGCATTTGGTTGTTGTGGTTTGGGTGGTGGACGTTTCAGCAGGATACTTCTGCATTTTGTACTGGAAGGAATCTTCGCTGAGTGCACAGTGAACTTGTCACCACAAGGTTGGTGGTTCATACCCTCCAGCTGCTCCGAGGTGAAAGGTGAGGGTATCTGTCCTCAAAGATGTACAGCTTTGGAAACCTTGCCTGGGGCTGTAGTGAGTCAGAATCGACGCCATGGCAGTGGGCTTGGCTGGTTCCCACATCACCCTGATCTACAGAGAGGTCCCCGCCTCCCAGCCCCGAGTGTTCTGGGAGCCCATGGAAGTGGAGCCCTGCCTCTGTGCTCCGCGGGAGCTGTGTGTGCATCTTCAGCCTCCCTTTTGTTTTGTTCCCCAGGGTCCTCTGTGTGGACTCAGCTGACAACACCTTCACAGGCTCCCTGAACTTTGACTCCATGACGTTTGGCGCCTTCCGGGCCCGCCGCCTCTCCACAGCCTCCTCGGTCACCAAGCCCCCGCACTTCATCCTCACCACTGAGTGGCGGTGGCACTGGGCTGACGAGGCCGGCTCTTGGCAGGAGTACGGACGACAAGTAAGTGGACTGCCTGGCTCTGAGGGAGGGAGAGGCAATGTAGCCAGGCTTCTGTATTGTATCTGTGTAGACGTGGCATCCCTGAAAGTAGATTGTGATTGGCTCCCGAGAACCCCAGGCTTAGAGGTGTTGGGGAGGTGGGTGTCTACGGAGGACAGAGACACTGAGGACAGGTGACTCTGGAGGGCGCACCCATGGCTGCCTGCTGTGCAGGTGTGTGGGTGAGCGGAAGAAGAGTGGTGTTGGCCTGTCTTGAGTTGAAAGGGACCCTGGGGTGCACAAAGGGTTTGCACGTGGCTCAGCTCCTCATGAGGTTGTTGGTTCAGATCTGGCCAGAGGTGCTGTGGGAAAAGGGCCTGGTGGTCCGCTTCCCTCCGGTCCAGCCATGGAGGCCTGGGGAGCACGCTGTCCTCCTTGGAGACACCTGCGTGCTGCCGCCCCTTCCCCTCATGGCAGTGGGCTCCATGTTGGTTTGTCTGTTGGCTTTGGGTGGATTTGGTTCTAGAATGAGCAGCTCTGCTGCCAGCTCTGAGATGGGGGTGGCTGGGCCAGATTGGAAGGTGCTCCTGGTCCCTTGCCTCCTGGGTGCAAGTGTGGGGCAGCATCCCAGAACCAGGCACATGCTCCCTAGTGAGATCTGAGCTGCGAGCAGGGCGGGAGTCATGGCACCTGCACATAGGATGCCTCTTCCTCTGGCGATGCCCCAAGCGGGCAGGGACTCTTTCTGCCATAGAAGACCCTGTACACAGCAGCACCTGGCGCAGGGGGAGCGCAGGGGACTGCAGAGGCCATGGCGGAGGAAGGTGGCCCCACTCGCCGCCGTCTGATCCCGCCTTCCAGAAGGCCCTGCCTCTGTGTTCTGTGTGTCTCCATTCTCTTCTTGGTCCCGGTGGGCTTAGGCCTTCTCGTGCTTTTCGGTCACCCTCTGGGAACAGTCGTCGTGCCGAGTCTTTGTTCTCTGTCTGCGGTTCCGGGCATCTTTCTCCTTGTCGTCACCCTGGTGAGTTGCTGTGAAGTGTCACAGAGTTGGTTCTGACTCACAGCTGTCCCCTGTGTAGCACGGTGAAACCCTGCACCTCCTCCCAGTTGTCCAAGCCCATGTCCGTCCGTCCGCCCCATGGAGGCTCTTTCTCTGTTTACTGACTCTGCCTCACTGAGCACTCTGCCCTTGCAGGCACTGGTCTCCCCTGAACCCATGTCCAAGGTACGTGAGACCAAGTCTCACCACCCTGCTTGCCCGGGACGGGCTTTGCCCTGTCACTCGCCACCCCCTTGCAGCCCGGTGGTAGAGCTGGAGGGAGGACCTGGTTCTGGAGCAGGAGTGCCGATCTTACTGTGAGACCATGAACTAGGGGTGGGTCTCAGATGTCACATCTGTCACTCCTTCTTGGCATGACTGCAGGGGGGTGAGAGGGTGGGGCTGAGCTGACTGGTGGGGGTGAAGAGGCAAGGGCTGAGCTGACTGGAAGTAGGGGGAGTGTCTGGAGGTGGTTGGGCAGCAGCAAGGGCAGAGGGCTGCTGAGTCAGGCTCACTGGTACTCCCCCCATGTCCATCCTCTGCTCTGTTGCTTTCCTCAGCCCCCATCGCCTGCCGTCCTGCTCATCCATAGCCGCTCCCTCCCCCTTTCTGCAGTGTCTTCTAAAGCAAAGGTCCAGGGACTGTCTCCTCTGCCCTCCTTCCACACCCTCTCTGCTCCCTACCCCAGGACACGAGTGCCTGAGTGGGCATGTCTGAGGGGTGTGACTGCCCCTTGGGATCATTCCCGCCCTTGAATTTGGTTTGGTTTTCCCCTGCAGGGCACAGTGCACCCGGTGGCCACAGTCAGCAGCCCCGAGTTGGAGAAGGCCTACCTGGCGTTCTGCACAGCGGGCCCCAATGCTGAGGCGGCTGTGCTGAGGTTCACGGCCGGGAAGCACGAGTATGAGCTGGATTTCAGAGGTACTGCTGACTCTTCCAGAACCCCAGGGCGCGCACGGCTGACACTAGCTCCTGACTGCTCACAGCTTGGTTGCTGATGGAAAAGTTGGGGGGTGGGTGTCAGTCTGGGTTGACTAGAGAAACAAATCCATGGACACACATATGTGTATAAGAAAGAGTTTTATGTACAAGAGGAATTGAACATTGAGAAAACCATCCCAGCCCAGTCCAGATCAAGTCCCTAAGTCCAATATTATAGCCCATATGTCCGATACCAGTCTGTAAAGTCCTCTTCAGACTCACCAAACACATGCATTGACACCAAATGCAGGATGATCACAGACCAGTGGGTAGAAAGTCTTTGGGCCCAGTGGTGTTGTAAGCATCTCAGTGCTGGCAGGGGTCTCTCTGTGGCTTCTCCAGCTTCAGAGGTCTGGTTGCATCCACGTGGCTTGTCTTCTGCAATGTCTTCTGGGGAGTGGCAGAGAGAGAGACGCGTCTTCTGCCTCCAAGGAGGAAGTAACAGATTTCTCAGAATCCTCAGGAGAAGGCCATGCCCACAGAAGCCTCACTGGCTGTCTCCATATTGATGGCGTAGAGTCCACCCCTACACTCTTAATCCTTAAATTGACACCAGATTAGGTGACTGCCACAGAGGGCTGCCTCCTCCCACAGCAACCTGGAAGAAGGGCCTGGGGAGCTGCCTCCCACAGTGGAACTGTGCGGAGGGGCCAGAAGTGGCCTTGACTGATGCCTGCTAGTGTCTCAGGCCTTCTTCGCACCCTGTGGAGGAGGGTGAGGAGGAGGTGGGTTGTTGATGTTGATTTGCTTCCGTTTCCCAGTGGAAGCCCCTGAGATCCAGCATGGCTTCAGCCTGCTACGTGGCAGGGAGTCGATGGGAAGCGGGCAGATGGTAGTAGCCACATCTGATGGGAACAGGGTGGGCAGGCCCCAGGGACAGGGCTTCCTTCCTTTGTGAGCTGCATGGCAGTTTACAGAGCAGAGTACGCGCTTCCTACCCTTGATTGTACTTCCCACAGTCACTTCATGTCTTCTGCTTCCTGTCTCGTTCCCATTTCCAGTCCTGCCTTCTGAACTCTCTGCCCTTCTGACCTCAGACGGTTGCTTGTGCTAAGGAGAACAGTTTCCTCCCACTCTGTGCAGGACCTTCTGATAGGATCCCTTTGAAGAGAAGTTGCCAGTGGTGGCCGGGCACCACCTAGTTCTCCTGGCCCCAGCGTCATGCCCTGCAGGGTCTGTTTCATGTGGTCCATTAGGCCATTGGACTCGTTGTTTGGTGTGTTGTTGATTTTCTCCTCTCTCTTTTGCTCTGGATCAGGCCCAGGAACAATCTTAATGGACACCCACCCCCCACCCATGGGTTACGCATGCTTATGTGCAAGGCCAGGGTCAATCGCAGACCTTCTGACAACTTTGACTATGAACGTGGTTTCTGCCATTTAAGTGCAGAGAGCAAAGCCTGACAGGGTTTTCCTGGTTGGTGCCTGTGCATTTCCACTGTGAGAGTGCTGCCCACTGATGCCCACCCTTGGACCTGGGCCAGCAGGGGGGTGTTTACTGTCCAACTCTGGAACCAACCTGCTGGGACACAGCAACACCAGTTCCGGTTCTTCATTATTGGCCACTGTTTGAAAAAGAAATGGTGGCTTGCTCCCTTGTAGCAATGACACAGGTTCACAAAGGGGGTGAAGCCCTGCTCCTGAGTCCAACTAGAAAAAGACCTAAGATTAAAATTATGTTAACTCTAAATCCCACCAACTCAAGATATGGCAGAGATGAATTTTATATCCAAGTTGGGAGAAATCACTAAGCAAAATAATAGTTTAAACAAGATCAGAAGGAACAATTTGAAAGCACTCATGTATAATTGATATGTCAATTACTAATCATTCATCTATTCATTAAATCCAGTCTCCCAAGGGTACCTCTTTCTTTATGAATATGTGAAATGGGTAAAGCTGCTTGTTAGCAGACTGATTCTGGGCTTCACACACTTCGAGTAGCTTTCCATCCCATGTAATTTGTGTTTATAAAACATTTCTCCTGCCTGCATGTCTCCACGCCAGAGTGTGTGTGTCTTTTTAATTGGCCCTGTGTCTCGCAGCTTTTGTTCAGAAAAACCTGCACTACAGCACTGTCAGAAAGGTGTGCCGGAGACCTAGATACGTGTCCCCCCAGGACGTGAAGGTGAAGCAGACCTGGTAGGTGCTCCTCAATGTGTGTGTGTGTGTGTGTGTGTGTAGTGAGAGTGCACCTGGCTGCAAGTAAAAGGAGCCTGACCTTCGTTCTACTCCAGCCCAGCTGCCTCTCAGCCTGCCCCTCCTTGCCCCTGCACACTCCTCCGTCCTAGAGCGGCTGGCCGAGTGTGCCCTCTGCTCCTTGCAGTACTTCCATGCTTCCCAGCCTGCGGAACATCCCCGACTACTGGGATACCTCTGCCCTGCCGGACCTGGGGTTCAAGGTAGGGAATGGTCCCTGCAAGGTTGGGGTCCACCCAGAGGTGCCTTGGATGAAAGGCCTTGTGAGAACTTGGTCACTGAGGATCTTGGGAAGCACAGCTCTACTTGGACATTCTGGACGGCTGTGAGGTAGAGCTGAGGGGACAGAAATAATGGGTTGGGGCTGGGCTGAGGATGCCAGGAGGAGGAAGATGTGAACAGATAGGGTGACTGCCTGGCCGTGCCTGAGTCACGGACATTCAACTGATGCCTAACCACGGGCTTCATGCCCAGTATCTGTGACAGGCTTTTTTGCAAGGTGGCCCCACTGACCTCAGAGGCTCCCTGCTGAGTTTGTTGGGCACAATGCCAGCCGTGCCCAGCTGCTATGCCAGGTGCTGGGACAGGTCAACGTTCTGTGGACCCCTGAGTAGGCTAGTTGGCTCCCAAGGGTGGGGGCAGGAGGGCTCGGGGAGGTGCCATTGTCAGTGATCTGCTCGGTGACCGCCTGTTCCTGCCCAGAGGATTGCCCTCAGCCCATCCTCAGAGGAGTACCAGAAGGCCTGCGAGCTCTTCAGCCGCACAATGCCCTCCTACATGATCCAGAAGATCGAGCGTGTGCAGAACCTGGCCCTCTGGGAAGTCTACCAGTGGTGAGTGGGCTGGCACTGCCTTTCGGGCATGGTCTCTATCACGCCCTGCCTCGCCCCCAGAACCCTCACCCCAGGAAACTACAGGCCGAGCTTGTCTGTGTGCGGAGAACATCACAGCGGTCACTGTGGGATGGAAGACCCTGCTCTGCTGCCCAGCCCCTCCCACACTGCATTGTCTGGCGGGTCTGCTCTCCCAGGGCTGGCCAGCTTTTTGAGGCTCCCGGGCTCGGGGTCAGCCCTGACCAGCAGGGAAAGGTTTCTGTCTGCAGTGTGGGGTGAGGCCTGCTCCTCATCCCGGGCCGCTCCCGCTCTGTAGGCAGAAGGGCCAGATGCAGAAGCGGCTCGGGCGCACCCTGGTGGACGAGCGGCAGCTCTTCCATGGCACCAGCGCCTGCTTCGTGGATGCCATCTGCCAGCAGAACTTCGACTGGCGCATCTGTGGCCTCCATGGCACCTCCTATGGCAAGGGTGAGTGCCTAGCAGGCAGGTCCAGGGACCGTGCAGGGCCACCCGGTAACTGGGTCTGCAGACACCATGTCCACCTGCTTGCCGGAAGGCTGATGTCCGCCCACCCAGAAGTGCTTCGGAAGAGAGGCCTGGCAATCTGCTCTGGAAACCCGCTTGGGGGCCCTGGGATCTGGGCCATTCCGACACG